TGCGTTGCGTATAAGAAGGGCCTCGCCACAAAACGATGCGTTTTCTTCAGTGCTAGGTGCATCGAGGCACAGCCCAATTTACACAGGCTTATTCAGCGCGCGTGCGACCTCCCTGATTCTAAGTGGACACTGTTGCCAACTAGGGAAACCTTGGACGATCGCTGGGCACGTTCAGTGGGCACTCCCAGAGCCTCTCAGGTGTGGGTCGTGAAATCTAGGCGCGAGTCGCGCAATGATTTCCCGGCAGGCATGAAGTATGTTTTATCGGCCGACCAAGCGTGCACTCTGCTAGGTGTCGTTGATGAGTCGCGCTCTAGGCGCGGGTTCTGCAATCTCTGAGTCTGAGCCGCGCCTTGAGCGGCCATGAGTCACCCATTTTTGTTTTAGTTTGCGTGGTATGCTTGGGAGCCGCGACTGCGGCTATGCATGCCACGCGCTCCTGCGCGTGGGGCGCTGCAGGTGTACCAGTTTGCCGATGAGCATGATCCTGCTGTAGTAACGACCCTATCCTCGTCCACCTCCTTCATCCCCCTCTTTCCCTAACCCAAATGAAAATTATCCCAATGCGATCCGACCTAGAAGTTGGAGCCCCTAGGAAAGCAGCATTCGTTGCTATGCTATGCTATACCATGCTATGCTGCGCTATGCTATGCTATGGTATGCTATGTTATGCTGCGCTATGCTATAATATGATATGCGATGCTCTGCTGTGCTAAGCTATGCTAAGATATGCTCAGCTGTGCTATGTCATGCTGCGCTATGCTATGCTAAGATATGCTAGACTATGGTATGATATGGTATGATATGCTAAGCTGCGCTATGCTATGATATGCTGTGCTATGCGATGCTATGTGATGCTATGCTGCGCTATGCTATGCTATGCTATGATTGGCTATGGTATGCGATACAATGCTATGCTACTGCAGCGCTTCGCTATGCTACGCTAAGCTAAGCTAAACTAACCATCTAGGCAGAGCCTAGGTAGGGAATTACACCCATGCTAATTACCCGAGCAGAAAACTGCTATGCTATGCTATGCTGCGCTGTGCTATGTTGTATTGTGCTGTGCTGCGCTATGCTATGATATGCTATGCTGCGCTATGCTATGCTATGCCGGGCTATGCTATGATATGCTGTGCTGCGCTATGCTATGCTACACGATGCTATGCTATGCAGTGCTCTGCCATGCTAAAGCTCAGCGAAGCTAAGATGAAGGTACGCTAAGCTAAGATACAACTGAGCTAAGATGAAGCGAAGCTAAGCTAAGATGAAATAAGCTAAGGTAAGATGAGATAAGCAACGCTAAACTAAGGGGACGTAACTGGGGGAACCGCGGGGCGGATCCTGGGGGAACCGCCCGGGGCGTTTTCCACTGCCCGGCCCTTTAAGCCCATAGAGTAAAAACCCTTCTAGGCAGAGCCTAGGTAGGGAATCATGATGCTGCTTCTCCTCCTGTTCCTCCTGATCCTCCTCAGCCACCTTGTCGGCCACAGCGCCCCTCGTCCGTTTCCCCCTGTCCCTCCCCCCTTCCCTCCCTTCCCCCCTCCCTCCCCCCCCTCTCGCCCAAGACACGCCGCCCCCTGGCGTGCCCGGTTGCGCCCACGCCCTACTCGGTAGCGCTCACATCTGACTCGGTAGCGCTAACGACTTACTCGGTAGCACTCGCGTCCAACTCGGTAGCGCTATCGACTTACTCGGTAGCGCTCGCATCCGACTCGGTAGCGCTATCGACTTACTCGGTAGCGCTATCGACTTACTCGGCATCGCTCGCATCCGACTCGGTAGCGCTATCGACTTGGGCACGTTCGCGTCCGCATCGCCCAACAGTGATGTGTCGCGCGCACGCGCGCAACATTTCCTCGCCCAGCGTGTGAGGGAAATGTTCTTAGGGTCACCAGGCTCGGGGTTGTTTAAAAGGTTCCCGACTTCGGCCGAGCTTTTGAAAGGGGGGGGGCGCTCTTGAGTTTACACCTGGGTAGGCTGTGTACTTGTAGCTCAAGGGTCAGGGCCTTTGAACAACAACCCAGCCTTCTCGACAGCCCGAACCGACGATGTCCACGTACCCCCCCGCCCCTGATGTTCAGGAGGTGGCGCTCCCCGTTGATGAAAAGACCCCCCGATCTTGGCAGACCTTTTAAACAACCCCGGGCCCGTCGATCCTTAAGAACATTTCTGCGTTTCCCCCTTCATCGGGTCTCAAGGCTTTCCACGAATCTAGCCCTTGCCCCTGCCAAAACGAAACAAACGACCCAGCGTCGGCGCGCAAAAATCCCCCGATAAAATAACAAGACAGCGCTATCCCACTTGATGGGATAGATGGTGCATCTCATCCAGGGTGTGATTAACAAAATGCCCCTCCTCCTGGAAACAAACCAAACAACCCTAGCATCGGCGCGCAAAACATGCCCCGACATAATAACAAGACCGCGCTATCCCACTTGATGGGATAGATGTGCATCTCAGCGCCGAACCAAGGTGTGGTTAACAACATGCCAATCCCCCTCCTGGAAACAAACCGAACAACCCAGCATCGGCGCGCAAACAATGCCCTGACAAAGTAACAAGACATCGTTCTCCCACCTGATGGGATAGATGTGCATTCCAGCGCCGAACCAAGGCGTGGTTAACAGCATGTCCCCCCTCCTGGAAACAAACCAAACAACCCAGCATCGGCGCGCAAACAATGCCCCGACAAAATTACAAGACATCGCTATCCCACCTAATGGGATAGATGGTGCATCTCAGCGCCGAGTCCAGGCGCGGTTAACAAAATGTCCCCTTCTCCTCCTGGGGCGACGGCGGAACTTGTGCGGAAGCGGGATGAAGTAATGGCGGTCGCTTTCCGTGGGTGACGACGGCCGTTCTGTTCTGCCCACGGAGGGACTGTTGCAACATAGACGTCCATCTCACTCATGTCCTGGGTTCCTGAATGAAGGTATTCATAAAACTAAGTCGCTCCTCAATTGGTGATTTAAATCATCACTCCTGACAATTCCTCAGTGCTCAGATGCGCGCAACGGCTCGCCTATTGCATGTTGGCTTGTGCGCTGCTCCAAGTGTTCTGGTTCCTCCACTGCCTCTGTCCTCCCTCTCTCCTGTGTTCCCTCCTCCTCGTCCTCCTGCCCCCCCTCCTCCTCCTGATCGGGGCGAGTCTGGTTTCGCAGGTTTGCTTGGGGCCTCCCGTCGAGAACAAAACAAACAACAAAACAAACAAGGTGGTCTAGGGAGCTTCCTCTTCCACCCCCCTTCTTCCCTTTCGGGTAGGGTTTACCCATTCCCCTACCCCCTCCTCTGGACCTGGACGGGAGGCGGCTTGAGGGGTTGGAGCGTCGCAGGTTACCCAAGACGGCTCCAAGAGCGCCTCAAAGAGCCCAAGATGGCCTCCAATATGGTTCACGATAGCCCATGATGCCTCCAGATTGCTCCTAAGATGCTTCAAGATGCCCCAAGACCGCTCCAAGCCACGCGTTGCGTGGTGTCCAATTGCCCACGCGCTGCGTGGTCACCTCTTGCCCGCACGTTGCGCGGTCACCTGTTGCCCGCGAGCTGCTTGGTATCATCAACATCATCATCGTCAGCATTATCATCATCATCGTCATCATCATCATCATCACCATCATCATCATCGCCATCATCATCAGCACCATCATCTGCATTGTCATCATCATCTTCATCACCATCATCATCATAATCACCACCACCACAATCATCATCACCATCATCATCATCATCATCATCATCATCATCATCATCATCATCATCATTATCATCATCATCATCATCACCATCATCATCATCTGCATCTGCATCTGCATCTGCATCAGCATCAGCATCATCATCATCATCACCAGCCCATCAAAACAATATGACCTTCGTATTGTGCCTTCTGCAACCGAATCAAGTCATTTAATGATCCATTTGGCTGATTTTGCTTGGGTCCCCCGGAGCCATCTTGGGTCATCTTGACGCTCCAACCCCTCGCCCCCCCCGCCCAGGTCCATTGGAGGGGGCGGGGGCAAGTCCCTCCCCGAAAGGGAAGGCAGGGGTTTGGAATGTTGTTTTTGTTCCTCGACGGGAGGCCTCAAGCAAACCTTCGAAAACAGACGCGCCCCGACCAGGAGGAGGAGGGGAGGAGGAGGACGAGGAGGAGGGAACACAGGAGAGGGGGAGGACGGTGGCAGTGGAGAAATCCAAGCACTTGGAGCAGCGCGCAAGCCAACCTGCAATAGGCGAGCCGCTGCGCGCTTCCGAGCACTGAGGTAACTGGCAGGAGAGCTGATTTACATCTCTGAGTCCAAGCTCCGAGGGATACATTGCTCTGTGATCCGTGCCAAACCGTATCTGCATAGCTCCACAATTTCATCACATATACTGCTCTGAACCGGTCCTATGTGTGTCTGCACATTCCGATCCGCGGATCCCTTTGGCTGACTTTGCTGGGGTTGCCCGCCAAGAGCGCCTCGGAGAGCCCAAGCTGGCCCCCAATATGGCTCAAGATAGCCCCTGATGCCCCAAGATGGCTTCCAAGATGGCTTGCAAGATGGTCCAAGATGCCCCAAGACCGCTCTAAGACGGTGCCAAATGGCGACGGAGCCTTCCAAATGAAGCCGCCAATATGTCAAAAAACCTTCAAACACCTACGGAATATCAAAGTGTTTGGCCTTCTCGCATTTTCGCATCAAATTGCCTTAAAGGCTTCAAAATAGCCTGGCCATGGCCCGAGAGAGCCCCAAGAGAGGCCCAATAGAGCCCCAATACGGCCCCAAGAGCGCCTAAGCCTAATAGCGCTCCCAGAACGCCTCAAGAGGGCCCCAAGAGGTGATTATTAGGGCCCCCGAGGGGGGGGGGCAAGATGGCCCCGAGAGCGCCCCTCAAGCTCCCACGAGCACCCTGAGGGCCCCAAGAGGCCCATACCACCATCTGTAGCCATTTTGGCTGAAACACTCCTGGGTTCCTGAGCCCCTCGGCCTCCGTCTCCGACGCTGTCAGACATCGGCACGATGCCGCCCAAGGGCAAGGCCAAGGCCTCCCCTGCCACGGCCAAGGCCGTGCGAGGCAAGGCGCAGGCCACACGAGATCGCGAATCTGCTGATGGTCAGCCCGGCACCTACCAATGCGGCCTGGGCACGTACAATGCCAAGTACTACGCGAAGCTCGACGCTGCCGAAGAGACCATCATGCAACATGACCTGTTCAAGAACATCGGTATGATGGGCGCGCTCAAGATCCAGACGATCGGCGAGGATAACGACGTGTCGTCTCACATCGCGCCCTTCGACAAAGCTGATTGCAGGATTGCTTTGCAGAGTCGTTCTATTTACGATTGTGGTTTCAATGCCTTCCATCTCCTGCTCAAGAGTTCGATGTCGAAGTCAGTACCCATCAACGAGCACGCAGTCCTGGAGTTCGCAAAGGCTAACTTCGTGGACTCTAACGACGTATTCCCCTCGATGATCCACACTGCGGTGGAGAAAGACACTGACGACGTCGAGTCCCTCTTCGGCAAGCTCCCGGTCCTGTCGCCAGAGGAGCCCCGCCACGCGTTCTTGTTCAAGCTGGCAGAGCGCATCTCGGCGGGGGCGGATCATGATGAGATCATGGGTTGGCAGCAGATGGCTCGCAGCGTGACGGTTCGCATCCATGTCATGGAGAACAACAACGACAGGATTTGGCTAGGCACCGGGTAATACTCTTATCGGAAATCATGGGCTGGCAATCTGCGTCCCGTCCTGTCTCGATCAGAGACAAGGCGGCGCGGAATGCCATGCCCAATGATTCGACGAGGGTCGGAACGGTCTTCCCAGGCACCGTCTTGCGCAACAGGATCGCTCAGCAGTACGACCTGGTCGTGCGCACGACGCCTCAGCTGATCGTGGAGCTTGCAATGCATAAGCAACGGATGCAGTCGAAGTACTCCCCGGAGAACTTGGCTGCAGAATTCAACACGCACATCAGGAAGCAGAGCGGCTCGAAGGAAGACGAGATCACTGGTTCTTTGGTTGATCAAGCAATCACGGTCTGGAACAGGTGCTTATCTGCTACAGAGAACATGGAGATTGTCATGGGCAACGTCAACACGTACGGCCACAATACGGTCTTCAACGGGGTGGGGAACCTCCAGGCCATTGTGAGCAAGGGCTCGACATCCCATAATATCAAGTGGCTGATCCAGGACATGGACGACCAGTTCAGGAACGGGGGCATCAGCCAGAAGGGCTTGGCACTCAGGGATATGCAGGGGACAAAGGGTAAGGTGTCTTGGCCAGAGAAGAGCCTCTACAGGATGAGCGTGCTGAAGCACCTGCGCGACTCCTGGCTCGAGATCCAGCCGTGCCCTGCCGCGCTCAAAGCCAAGCTTCGCGACCTCACTGAGTCGCACAAGTCTTGGCGGAAGGGCCTGGGCTTCTCGCACAATGGCGGAGAGGTTGACCAGAGCTGGAAGGGTGAGTGGCCAGTCTACATGGACATCGCCGTAGAACTATTTTCGGTCGTCTTCGACAACACGCGCGACTCCGACATCGAGGAACAGTGCAAGAAGGCTTCTGCCGAGGAGTTCGTTGAGCAACACTTAGGGTCGCACCTGAACGACTGGGCGGAGTGCTTCAAGACCGAGGATAAGCAGAAGGAGGACGCGGGTGCCGCCGTCAGCGAGACAGCCCCTGCGCCGCAGAGCTCTATTCCAGCACAGGTCAAGGAGGCGCCGCCCGAGATCTCGAAGGCGATTCAGGACATGGGCTTCACCCTCAAGGACCCCGATGACGTCGAGACTTTGCAGGCTTTCTACTCGAAAGCAAGGACGCTCGTTCGCACCTTCGTTACGCTGGTCCCAGAGGAAGCAACTGTGGGTAAGATGGCGTCGAAACTCGAGGAGCTACCGATTCATCGAGTGCAGGGCAAGAGCATGGAGTCGCACACTTCCTACTTCGCTTTCCTGTACACCTTGAACTTGAGTGGCGAGGTCGCCACTGCGCCACATGTTCGGATGATGTCCTATAGGAAAGACGCATACCAAAAAGCAGTGGACGTCTTCCTGGGGTTTCGAGGGTCGCCTACTGTTTTCCCGGACACCGACGTAGCGATCGTGCTGGACGGCTACAAGCATGGCCTGAAGGCGCAGATGTTCAGCGCGTGGCAAGTGGACGGCAAGGCTGTCATGAAGGACGAGACTACGTACTCTCTGATCTACGACGCCGACCAGCTGCAGAGTCGCCTCGGCTGCATCCGTGGATGGAAGATGCAACAAGTGGAGTGGATGCATGTGATTCACAACCCGAACGGCCTCAACCTCAAGATTCGCAAGAGGCTCCACTACGAGGGAACCAATCGCTGGGAGATCATGCAGCCAGTCCGCTTCAACGAGTGGAAGGACTCGTGGCACATGTCCTACGAGGAGAAGCTCTCTTTTTTCGGATCGCATCGGCATGACGTTGGAGGCTCGAGCGGGATCCCTGTGCCCAAGAGGAACCCGAAGGATTTTGAGCCCCTGTTCTACCACAGCCCTGAGCCGAACTTGTTCGACGAGCAGTACCATTGCTTCGACATGGCTGGGGCCCTTGACTGGAACGCCGGTGAAGGCTTCGCGGCCGTTCCCTTCATCCGCTGGCGTAAACCGTACGTTGGCATTTGCTTCAAGATGTCGCACGTGACGGGCCTGTACCAACGCCTGGAACTCCTCGCGCTGATGTGCATGCTCAGGGTGGACGACGAGCTGTACGACCCCAAGTTCGCAGCGCTCATGGAGAACAGCTCCTCCAAGAAGGATGATTCTAAGCCTCAGCCTAAGATGAAGCGGACGAGCAACAATCGTGGTCAGGGTGGCTCCGAGTCTAAGCCCGACGGCGATGACGAGACGCCACCCAAGAAGGCCAAGACGGGCAAGGGAAACAAGGCGGACAAGGCGAACAAGTCGGAGAGCCGCGCGGAGCTGCTGAAGTTGCTGGAGGGCATGGGGAAAGGCCCCAAGAAGGACAAGGCCGGCAAGGCGGGAGCTGCTGAGGAGCCCGAGGGCGACGACAGCGAGCCTGAGGAGGAGGAGGACGAGGACATGGAGGAGTGAGGATGATGCCTGACTGAGCCTGTCGCACTTTCGCGCGATGCTGTGGATTCGCGGTCGTGCATCGCATGGTCCGTAGTGTTGCTGCGCCATCGCAGTGATGGCGCATCTGCGGAGGCGGAGGCCTCCCTCGAGAGAATGGCCTGGCAGTGCAGCCTTCTGAACACCTGGCTCAGTTGAGGATATTCAGATTAAGGGTTTCAGGGCGAGGATGGGCTCAGGGTTCAATTGAAGGCATGCTGCTGCACTCCAGGCGGGCAAGCACCAACAAGACATCTGGCGAGCGGCGGCTGGAGGGCACGGTCGGGTGCCAACAGCCGCTTGCTCGCAAACGCGCAGGAAACCATCATACTTATCATCATCACCACCATCATCATCACCATCATCACCATCACCACCACCATCATCACCATCATCATCATCACCATCACCTTCATCCTCATCCTCATCATCATCCTCATCCTCATCCCCATCCTCATCATCATGATCATTATCATCATCATCATCATCATCATCATCATCATCATCGGCATCATCATCATCATCATCATCATCATCATCATCATCATCATCATCGTCATCGTCATCGTCATCATCATCATCATCATCATCATCGTCATCGTCATCCGCATCCATCCTCATCGTTATCAGCATCATAATCATCCTCATCCTCATCATCAGCATCATTCCCTACCTAGGCTCTGCCTAGAAGGGTTCTTACTCTCTTTGCTTAAATATGCCCGGCAATGTTCCTCGCCCCGGGCGGTTCCCCCAGGATCCGCCCCGCGGCTCCCCCAGTTGCGCCCCCTTACCTTAGCGTTGCGTATCTCATCTTAGCTTAGTTTAGTTTAGCGTAGCTTCATCGTTGCTCAGTTTTATCTCAGCTTAGCTTACCTTCATCTTAGCTCTGCTGAGCTTTAGCATCGCAGAACACAGCATAGCATAGCGTAGCATAGCATAGCGCAGTACAGCATATCATAGCATAACCCAGCACAGCACAGCATAGCACAGCGCAGCATAGCATAGCATATCATAGCGTACCATAGCAGAGCATAGCATAACAGCAAAGCAAAGGCAAAGAAACAGCAGCGACAGCAAAGCAACGCACAGGCAACGCAAAACAAAACACATCTCCCTCATCTACCTACGCTCTGCCTAGAGGCTAGCTTAGCTTAGCTTAGCTTAGCATGGCGCAGCGCTGTACTAGCATTGCCCTCCCGACCTCTGGGGCCCCAGGCAGGACATGGCACGCCGGGCATGGGCAAGGCAACATGCAATGATGCCCGTCAGCGGCAGTTGCCCAACACTGACAGTATGGCGGCGCGTCGGGCCGCAGCTCGAGCGCCCAGGGGCGAGATCTGGGTAAGAAGGAAGGGGAGGAGGAGAAGGAGGAGGAGGAAAAAGAGGAGGAGTAGGGGAAGGGGGAAGAGGATGATGATGAAGAAGGAGTCGATGGGGGGAGGAGGAGCAAAGGGTGAGGAGGATAAGGAAGACACGAGGAGAAGGGGGTTAAGGATGAGGAGGCAGCAGGGGAGCATAGCATAGCATAGCATAGCATAGCACAGTATAACATAGCAACTAATGCTGCTTTCCTAGGGGCTCCAACTTCTAGGTAGGGTCGCACTGGGGTAATCAGCATCATCATTATCATAATCATCCTCATCCTCATCCTCAGCATCCTCACACGTTTTGTGGCCACACAGGGAGCTACAGCTAAAGCCAAATTAACTTCGCATGTTGGCGACGCCCCGTTTCGGCACACCCATCACACAACGAGTAGGAGAAGGGGGTTACTGCTCCTCAGAAAGAGCCACAACATGACCCCGAGAGGGCCTCAAGAAGACACCCAGATGGCTGCCTGAGTCCTCGTCTTCATCCCCTTCGTCCTCGTCCGCGTCCTCATCTCCTCATCGTCCTCCTGTTCGTCCTTTTCATCTTTCTCGTTTTTGTTATTCGTCCTCGTGTTCGTCCTTCTCCTCGTCCCTGGCCTCCTGGGCTGTCTTGGAGCTCCCGTGGAGACCTCTTCGGCCGTCTTGGGTGGCCAGACGCCCAGACAGGCGAAAACTTATGTTTTTCAATAACCTCATGACAATCACTGTTGTTTGCCGCGCGACTCCGCCTTTTTTCCGGCACACCCCTCACATGTTTCGTGGCCCCGCAGGGAGCTCCACCCACGGTCCCAGTGGCGCAGCCCGCTTTTGGGCGACAATCCCGTTTCGGCACAGCCCACAAACTTGTAGTGGCTCCACAAGAGCTCCACCGAAGGCCCCAGCGGCACAGCCCGCATGCAAGTTTTGCCCCATAGGGAGTTTCACCTCGAATCGTATACTCACAATTGTGGTACTCACATTTGCACATGATTGGATTCCTCGCCAAGCTAATCCTGCCTTCTTGGTCCCCCTGATGCACGGCTGAATCTAGCTCGGAAAAGTGGCGTGCATCCCTTGACCGTGGTGGGGCCCAGCGGAGTGCTACGAGCCACGCCAAGACAGCGTTCAGGTCAGCCCTAGCTCACCTCCCAGCCCCACCCCCTGCTGCCACGGTTCGAGGCAACTTGGGGGGGAGCCTCGGCGAAACGAGCGCCTCTCTCCTCCTGCGAGGTTTCGGCTTGCTCAGTTCTCAGTTTAGCAAGCCCTCCCCGGCGCGCAACACCAGTGCGCAATGGTCGCCGCGTCCAAGCCCACCAACAAGTCAGCCAGTAAGGCTGGTGCCCCTATTATGCAGCTGGGTAAGAAGCGCACTTCCAAGTTACCAAACATTCTAAAATCCAAATGTGTCGAGGGCGATCTTACGAGTGGCAGTTTCTTCTCAGGCATGGAGAACGGGCTACGGCCCCTGCAGTACGTGTTGCAGACTTTGTTCGGGCCAAATGTTCACGTGAAGCAGAAGTTCGCAATCGACAAGGATCGGGCGTGCCAGAGGTTCCTCAAAGCGAACATTGCCTCCGATTGCGTTATCTACGGTGACGTGAAGAACGTGAACTTGGCTCGCCTGCCGTATGTTGATTTCCTGTGGTACAGCCCGCCATGCAACAAGTACAGCCAGCAGGGAAAGCAGCAGGGCTGGGAGGCGTCCTCCGACCACAGGGACGGCACGCTCGTCAACTTCCCCCTGGAGTACATCCGCCGACACCAGCCCCTAGTTGCAGTGATGGAGCAAGTCCCGACCATCAAGACGAAACACTTCGGCGTCTATTCGTACATCATGCACAGCCTCCGTCGCATTGGCAATTGCTGTTACAGCGTGACCGACCACGTTGTCGACACAAAAGACTACGGCGTTCCCCAGCGCAGGAAGCGACTCTACATCGTGGCACTGCACAAGTCGGCGGTGCCGAGCATTCCTGTTTTCCAGATGCCTGCACCCCTGCCGGTCCCGAGCCTGGAGAGCGACTTCGACATGCAGCTCAAGGGCTGCCTGGACGACGTCCCCGACTACTCCATCCCGAACCTCTTCGAGGCCATGAAGAAGGTGTTCAAGAAAGGTGGCAACCCCTGCACAGAGACGTGGATCATGGACATACTGGGTGGTGGTAAGAACTGGGTCACGGTCGAGAAAAATCTATGCCCTACGATCACAGCGAACCGCGGGTATGGAGGCGGCTATTTCATATCGAACCTCATGCGATTCACGACCCACGAGGAGTTGGCCAAGCTCCAGGGAGTGAACATGCAGGGCGTGGTCATCCCCGACACGGTGAGCATCAAGCAGTTCAAGAAGATGGTCGGCAATGCAGTGTCTTCTAACGTGTCGGGGATCATATTTTTCCAGATTCTGAACGCCATGAAGTGAGGTGCTGGTGTATGTGGGCAATCTACAGCATGGTCGCGCGTACGCGCGACGCGGGGTGCCTCCGCAGAGTCTTGTGGCAGACTCGTAATTGGATCGTTCTTCTGAATCGTGCAAGTTTCCTCGGGTTATGTCTGCTCGGAAACATCCACACCTCCCCCGCCGTGAGATGACCGTCAGCGTGTTACATCATCGTTTGTTGTTCAAAGGCCTGGAGTTCCCTCAACACTATCGTTGTGATGTTGTGTACTGCATGGCGGCGCAAGCGGCCGAGATTGCCTCAATGACGGCTTCCAAGACAGCCAAGCTGACACCATGATGGCCCAAGATGGCCCAACACGGCTCAGCTCCCCAAGACGGCCTCACGACGGCCCAAGAGGCCCCCAAGACGGCCCAAGAGAGCTCCAAGAGGCCCTCCAGGAGAGCCCAGGTAGGCACCACGGCGGCCTTGGGAGTCGCGCTGCACCACGGAGTCGCGCTGCACTGCTATGATGCGCTATGCTATGCTATGCTATGCTATGCTATGTTAGGCTAAGCTATGCTATGTCATGCTGTGCTATGCTAAGCTATGCTATGATATGCTATGCTATGCTAAGCTGCGCTATGGTATGCTATGATATGCTGTGCTATGCTATGCTATGCTATGCTACGATATGCTATGCTGCGCTATGCTATGCTATGATATGCTATGCGATGCTTGGTTATGTGCTCCCCTCCATTGACGACGACGGCGTCGCCGTCGTCGTCATCGTCGTCGTCACCTCGTCGTGGTCGTGGCCGTCGTCGTCGTCGTCACCTCTTAGTCTTCGTCGTCGTCGTCGTCGTCGTCAATGGAGGGGAGCATTGCCCTCCCGACCTTTGGGGCCCCAGGCAGGACATGGCACGCCTGGCATGGGCAAGGCAACATGCAATGATGCCCGTCAGCGGCAGTTGCCCACAACCGACAGCATCCGCTTTTGGGTAGACGACATGGATTGTGATGATGATAGTGTTGATGGTGATACTGGTAATGGTGACGACGGCGATGAATGATAACGGTGATGATGGCGATGACGATGATGATAACCAGTGTAGTGGCTCTAGTGGATGATTGTTGTGCAAGTGATTGTGAATGTACCATGATACCCATGAAATGCTTATGATTATGGCAATGGTGACGATGACGATGGTGACAACAGGTCCCCGGCAACAAATACACACATCAACAAAAAACG